CCCCTTCCCCCGCATCCCCCTGCAGTCGACGTCGGCGGTGCTCCGGTCTCCATGGTGACCAATCGAGGCCTGGTCCCGCCCCCGCCCCTCGCCCCGGCCTCCTGACGTCGGCGCACGTCAGCGGCGGCGCGCGCCTGGCTGGGCCCTACGGAGCGGGGAGGGAAAGAGCGAAGGAGCGAGCGGAGCGGCCGTCGTCCGAGCCGAGCCGCTCCGTGCCGCGCTGACCGTCCGCCCGCCAACCCGCCGGCCTGCTCGCGCTACAGTCGACTTGTCTAGCAGCGGGGCCCAGCATGGTCATGGCGGATGGCCCGAGGCACTTGCGGCGCGGGCCGGTTCGGGTGGGGTTCTACGACATCGAGGGCACGCTGGGCAAGGGCAACTTCGCGGTGGTGAAGCTGGGGCGGCACCGGATCACCAAAACGGAGGTGCGGCCCGGGGCTCGGCGGGAGCGTCCGAGGCGAGGGCTCGGGAGAGGAGCCGTTTACGGACTGGGGCGGCTGCAGTGTTGCGACCCGGGACACACAAGAGGCCGCGCCACTCTCTGAGGCGAGCGGGCCCGGGACCGGGAGCCAGAGCTTGCATGGGGTCGGTGAGCAGTGAAGGAATCGGGGCCAGGTCACCCTGTCGAGAGTGCCGTCTGACTGGAACCCTGGCCCGGGGCACTTTGGCTTCCCCTACGCCACCCCCGATGGCTGCACGGAATTTCGCCCAGAGCCCCCCACTCAGGCTGTGACCTGGTCTGTGGCCTCTGCTCCAGAGCCCAAGTTCCGCGTCTTCCCCGCTTTCGGCTGGGGGGTGGGGAAGGAGGGGAAGTCTCGGAGCTCCCGGAGCTCCCGGGCTGCGCGATGAGAGATGTCTGTCGCCAGCCTAAGGAGAGAGACCTCCTGAGCTCGGACTGCGCGTACAGGGATCGCCGGCCCCCTGACCCTAGCGTCCTTCTCTACCTAGCAAGGAAGGGGCCCCGGTAGCCGGGAATACCCAGGCGGCCACTGTCCATCATCTCTCCCTCCTTTTGACCCGCAGGGGCTCTCATTTGGTGCCTGGCTAGCTTGGTCTCTTGCCTGAGGCATTTCCATCTAATACTCCAGACAATAGAACTAGTTAAAATGGTCATCTCTGCATTTGCACAGATGGTGCCTTGGTCTGTCTTATCTATAGGGTTGTTCCTTTACCAGGTGTGCTTTTTGGCTGTGAGTACACGTTCCTTAAGCCACGTCAGATTGCCTGTACTCATGAAGCCCTCAACTGCTTCTTGACGGTGCAACCAGCCTCCCCCCCCCC